TTCTTTTTCTTTCTTTTTCTTTTTATCTCTTTTCTCTCTTTTTTCTTTCTTTCTTTTTTCTTTCTTTCTTTTTCTTTCTTTCTTTTTCTTTCTTTCTTTTTCTTTCTTTCTTTTTCTTTCTCTTTCCTTTAATTCTTTTTCTTTCTTTTTATCTCTTTTCTCTCTTTATCTTTAGTTCTTTTTTCTTTCTTTTGTTTTTAATTCTTTTTCTTTCGTTCTTTCTTTTTCTTTCTTTCTTTCTTTTGTAACTATTTTCCTTCTTTCTTTCTTCTGTCTATTTACTCTTTTCTGTCATTTTTTTCACATATCCATTCAATACTTCTTTTTCATTCTTCCTTTCTTAAATTCATTCACGTAATTTCTCCTTCTCATATCCATTATTTTCTTTTTTTTCATTTTTTTTTAAAATCTTCCTTTCGTATCTTATAATTAATCTTTTTCATATTATTCAGCTTTTCTTTTCGACTATTGTCCTGGATGGAAAGAAATTAATTTTTCATATTTTTTTATCGTTCTTTCGTGCTCTCCAAATTTTTTTTTATTTTTTCCTTATTTTTATTCTTTAAATTTTCTATTTCATCCTCTGTCCTTTACTTATCATGAATTTTCTAATATAGTCTTCCTCGATCCAACTTTTAATATATATATATATATATATATATATATATATATTTATGCGTTTATCTCGATAGCGACCTGTTTGTTCAATTTTTATGTTGTTCTCACATCGGGTTGTGGAGTGATTTTATATCAGTATTTAATTTCATAGCCTTTCTGTGTTGATAGATAGTGGACAGACATATATATATATATATATATATATATTAAGATTATTACCCAAGCAAGGCGGGAGTGTCACTGGCACGTAAGTGGTTACAGAGAGGGAGCAAGAGTAAAGAGGTGTGTGTTTGAGGAAATGATAGAGAGAAGGACTGGGATCAAGAGTAAGGCATCAGAAATGTCAACTTAAATTACATTTGAATATTTGAAGATTATAGTTATCAGGAAAGTAAGAGGAAGGGAGTTCCACTGTCGGGAAGTCCGAGATAAGAAGCTGTTGGAGCAGACGTGACGCCGACATTTAACGGTTTCGACAATGAAAGTGTGTGACAGAGATTCCAACCTAGTAGCACGTTTAAATTCAGTGAAAGTTGCTCGTCAGAGCAGTTGCCATGAAAATACTTATAGAAAAGGCAAGGCATAGCAGGTCTGCGAGAGAGTGACGCTAGACGAGATACCAGAACAGGACCTATCATATTACATATCCGTGACACCGAGTAAAGAAGATTTGGAGAATTTAACACTCTCTCAGGGCACTTCGAAGGCGCATGTCACCGAGAAAAGTTTGTGAAAATTGTTCGAGTAACATGTATCACAGACAACGAGGAGACATTGAAGAGAATATATTATTGAAAGCCCAAAAGACTAGAAGCTGTGGAGAGTTCAAGTCTTAAAGAAAGTCTGGATATATAAGGTTTATAGAGCACAATATAAAAACTGACACTTAGGCTAGTTGTGTATTTGGTTAGCTATCAAAACCTAGCTTTATGTCGGTAATTAACCACACAGATATTTTCTTATTGCTACAAATGTTACGTTTACGTGGAGGCACGGTGGAGTAATGGATAGCGGCTCGGATTGAGGAAACGGAGAGCCGAGTTCAAATTCGAGTCAAATCCATTACATGTACTTACGTGCTAATACCTTGGGAAAGGTATGAGTCCTCCTCTTCTCCCCACATATGGGTAAATATCGGGTTCTATAGCCTTGGTTGGCAACTGGTCTATCCCAGAAAGAAATGGCAACCTTCTGTGGAAAAAAAATCTTTCTCGTTAGTTATGTATCGAAAGATACATGATTGCCTAAACGTGTATCAAGCATGTCACATAACTGACTGAAATTGACTTACGTACTAATTCCCTTGGGAAAGATATGAATCCTCTTCTCTCCTCACCCCAGCTATGGGTAAATAGCAGGACAGACCGGGTTCTATAGCCTTTGATGGCAAATGGTCTACTGCAGAAAGAAATTGCAACCTACTGCCTCGTCAGTCATGTTTCGGGTAGTAAGTAAATTTAGCAATTATAGGCTTCGAAACGTCCCAAGTGAAAGATATACCTTTTTATTAAAACAAAGAAAAGAAAAGAAAACAAAGATAAAAAGTCGCATAATTGACCCTTGTTTAGCTGTCAGGTCTTTTCTTTTTTCGACTTTAATAATTCATTTTTATTATCATTTCACCCCAACTAAGGCAGTAAAGCCACTAAGACGAAAGATTACTGGGTGTGAAAAAATAGGGGAAAAAAAAAGAAACATTATCTAGGAGCGAGAACAATAAAAGAAGAGTAATCAAGAAGACAGTCGATAAAGATTGCATTTAAATTTTTGAAGAACAAAATGCGATGGAAAGCCTTGAGCCGGAAGTGATTTCAACAAGTGAGAAGTGTGAGAGAAGAAACTATTAGCATAGAACTTTCGGTTGCTGTTCAGCTGTAAATTGGTGAGACCTTGCCGCCAATCTCGTATTGCGCTTAAATTCATAAGGTCTAAGCACCATAGAAAAAAGTTCATCAGAACAATTAACATGAAAGTAAATTCTATGCTAATATTTTCTTCTGTCGTACTTCTCGCTTGTGGAATTCACTTCCGGCTTCTTGCTTCCCAGTCAAGTTTGATTTTCAAATATTTATTTGCAATGCCAATCATTATCTTTGTCTTATTTCTTGTTTTTATTCTCTCTTAGTAGAAGTTTTTTTTCTCATATTCTCTAACACTCAGTAATACCTTGAATCTTAGTGGTTTATTGCCATGCTTGGTGTAAAATTATTTTTAAAAAATCTAATTCAAGCAAGAACTTTGAACGTTAAACCTACACCTGCCGTATTTAAATTAGTGAACCGAGGCTTTCATATGAATGTCCGCCATGGCACTAAATTCGTTCAGAAATATCTAAACTGTAAGATGTATACAACCACTCTCTCAGATGAATGATTAAGAATGACTTTGAGCGAGCGAAGCCCAGTGGAGAAATTGGTTATAAGCGAGCGAGTGTGTTTCTGAGCTGGAAAATTGAAATTACTAAATGGAATGTTACTGATTTTAAAGTGAGTTCTTGACGGGATGCTTATAATAAACTTAATAAAATATATATATATATATATATATATATATATATATATATATATATATATATATATATATATATAATGGATAGCGGCTTGGATTGAGGAATCGGAGAGCCGAGTTCGAATTCAGTCGAATCCATTACATTCACTTATGTGCTAATACCCTTGGGAAAGGTGTGAATCCTCTTCTTCTCACTCCAGCTATGGGTAAATAGCAGGACAGACTGGGTTCTATAGCCTTGGATGGCAACTGGTCTAGGAGAAGGACAACCCTGAATTCAAAACCTGCCGAGGGTCGTTTGGGGACCTTGTGGCACGTAGCGCACCAGGTCTCTGTATTCGGCCCTTGAAAAAGTGTGGATTGTTCTACACAAAACCTTTACCACTATAATCAAATCTCCTGTGCTGGTGTAGGGCTGTCAGTTTCCTAGGAATTGATCTGCTTGACTATCATATGTCGAATTCAACGGGAGAGTCGTGTATATATATATATATATATATATATATATATATATATATATATATTTTATATATACAAATATTTAAGTTCTTTTAATATTTAAGTAAATGCTCTGCATATATATTTGTATCTATAAAAAAATGTATAAATATAAAAAATGTCATAAAATAATTGTCAGACTTTGTCTATTTCATAATGTGTGACGTCATTTGTTTACATTTGGATACGCATCGAGCAGATATGAATGTACGAGAGAAAATCATCGAGAACTGTTGTTTAAAAATAGTAAAATCGACCTAGCTAACCGAAACACTCCTCTGTGATTCAATCGGTAAAAGTATGTCAGGCTATATGAGGGTTAAGTATATGATACAGGTTCGATTCCTGTCGGAGAAGGCATATTTTCTATGAAAATTTCTCGGACACTCAGGCCGGTAAATGGCGTTAATACTGTTTATTATAAGCAGAGCATTTACTAATCTATAAAAAGAGGGTATAAACATAAAAAATGTCATAAAATAATTATCGAACTTTGTCCATTTTATATATATATATATTTATATAATGAAATTGAGTAAGTTTGACAATTATTTTAATATATTTATTGTTTATACCTTATTTTTATGGATATAAATATTTAAGTAAATGCCCTGTTATAATAAATAGTATCAACAACATTCACCGGCCTGAATGTCCAAGAAAATTCATAGAAAATACGTGTCCTCCGACAAGAATTGAACTTGTATCCTACACAAACTGTCATATAGCCTGACATGTCATACCATTTAGCTACAGAGGAAGCATCTACTTAGGAAGGTCAGAGGACTCATATTTTCTATGAAATTTACTAAGTTACTAATTTTGTTTGTATAACCATATATATATATATATATATATATATATATATATATAAGTGAAATTGAGAAATTCATAAAATAAAAAGGTGTTGCACTGAAATGTACATTTTTTTTCCTTGTTCAAAATGCAGTTATCTCCCCATGGTTATTCATGGCGGAAGTTGTAAAGGCTCAGCTCAATCAATCATTAGCTAGTGTCTTTCAAGTCTTCGGTGTTATTGTTTAAAAGCAACTTACCCGGTGCACATAGAGACGTTGCAAATAATTCGATAAAAGGTCGACTTTATGAATAAAGATGCTGTAGCATTCAGTGCGTTATTGAGAAGAGGGGTCCTAAAATCCACTTTGTATGGAAAGAGGAGTCTGGGGTCATGAATTGGTTGAGAAGGAGGTCGGTTTGTTTACCGATGTCACGGACTGAGAGAAGACGAAAAAGAATTAGTGACAACATTCCGAGGAAAATGTTATAAGGTTTGAGAATATTATTACGACGTAAAATAACGGCAGGACGAGAAGTGTTGATATGGGACACTAGTGGCATTTTGGATATTTATTTAA